GCCGGTCATGGTGGTCGTGCCAAAACCCTGGAGCTCATGTCGCGGAATTACTGGTGGCCTGGGATGTCCAAATTTGTCAATGAGTACGTAAGCACCTGCGACGTGTGCAACCGTACCAAGACATTCCCAGCCAAGCCCCAGGGTCCGCTGAAGCCGAATGAGATCCCCGAGCGCCCATGGCAGATCATCACGACCGATATGATCGTCGGCTTGCCAAAGTCTGATGGATTCGACTTGATCCTGGTCACCGCCGACTGCTTTACCAAGCAGGTCCACTTCTAGGCCTGTCATGAGACCCTGACGGCAGAAGGTGTGGCAGACCTGTACATCCGCGATGTGTTCAAGCATCATGGGGCCCCGGCCAAGGTCATATCAGACCGAGGTCCCCAGTTTGCTTCGAAGTATCTCCATGCGGTGTACAAGGGACTTGGGATCGAGCCGGCGCTGTCCACGGCGTTCCACCCTCAGACGGACGGCCAGACCGAGCGCTGGAATCAGGAGACCGAACAGTACCTGCGTGCTTTCACAAGCCACAGGCAGGATGATTGGGCGAAGCAGTTGCCGCTCGCAGAATTCGCACTGAACAACCGAGTTCACTCCGCGACCGGGCATTCCCCTTTCTTCCTGCATCAAGGGTACAATCCTGAGATCCAGGTTCGGATCAATCCGATGTCTGCGATGCCTGCGGCCGCTGATCGGCTCAAGATCCTGAAGGAGATTCGCGACGATACGCGCTCTGCGCTCAAGCTGTCAGCCGAGCGCATGAAGGTGTACTACGACAAGCACGTGCAGGAGGCACCAGTCTTCGCGCCGGGGAACAAGGTCTGGCTTGATGCTCAGAACCTTAAGCTGAAACAGCCGAGCAAGAAGCTCAGTCCCAAACGCCTCGGACCTTATGCCGTGCGGCGAAAGCTCGGAGACCTGGATTATGAATTAGTCCTGCCGAAGTCGGTGCCGGTGCACCCGGTATTCCATGTCTCCTTGCTTAGCAAGTACACGCGTAGCGATATCCCGGGCCGGGAGCCGGAGGAGCCGCCTGCGATCGAGGTTGAGGGCGACGAGGAGTACGAGGTTGAGCGGATCAAGGATTCGCGGATCTTCCGGCGTCAGCTACAGTACCTCGTCAAGTGGAAGGGTTATGACGACTCGCATACGTCATGGGAACCGGCGCGCAATGTTGCCAATGCGCCGGCCCTCATAGCCGATGATAGGCGCCAAGCCCCTCTGGGCCCCGATTCACCTCTTTTCGGCACTCGCATCCCGCCCGGCACTTCGACTCAGTCTCCCAACACTTCGATTTCGCCTTCGACGCTCTTCGACACCTTCGACGGTGCGCGACGCTTACTCGAAGCTTGGCACGGTCTTCCCGATGCCTCGTGCGTAGATCTCGGAACGTCTTCCGCATTCGGCGAACAATAGGGCCACTTGACGCCGCTCGGCCAAGCGCGCGCTTCGCTCCAAGCCACACCGAAGTAGCCGGTCTTTCCCGATTAGGTATCGAACCTCGCGGCATGCCTTCACGACGGCTATCGGTCCGAAGTGGCCATATGTTGCTCTTCATCTCCGCGTTCGGCATGACGTCACTCTACCGATGGACTTGGTATGTGCCTCTCGGTGAGGCAGGTTCTTGAGGAACAATGCAAAGCCCCTTGTACCCGTATGCCACTCTCGAATAGTCGTAGCATCCTGTGTAGTATAAAATCTGTCGTAGGTCTCCCCAAAAATACAAGATCCGTCCCCCCCCTCGAGTTCAGAGCTCATAAGTCGAGTTCGCCCTGCGTCTACGTCCTCAACTGCGTCACTTCGTTCCTCACTGCGTAACCTCGAAACCTCGTCCACTGCGTTCACTCGTTGATACCGTCTCGACGAAATTTTCGACTTCGACTATTGTCGAAGAACTGCGTTGCACCTCGAACCGCGTCCTAGTTAAGTCCCCCCTATCGAATCGTGTCCCTTCTCTCTACGATACGTCGAAGAGCTCTGCCGAGCTTCGATCGTCTCCACTAACCACCCCCAGCCTCCGAGTAGCTTCGACGACGTGTCGAAGCCACCTCGTACCTTCCCTAGCGTTCGTAGCCTTTTCCGAAGGCGTTTCTCGTGTTCACTCGAACCGCGGGACACCTTGCTGCTAACTCCCCGCTCATTAGACTATAATCCGTCTCTCTAGTCCCTTTAGGTCGCACCCAGGTTAGGGGTTAGGGTTTCGTAGGTCGTATCACCGACTTCCACCGGAAGAATCCGAATGCCCCACGTCGCCTCAATGCTGCTACCTTTGGTGGTCTCAACTTTCAGCCAATGCCTTCACTGCTGACTGAAGCACGATGCCGCTCCAGGTGGGAGATGGGCAAGGGCGCCTCGCATGAGGTCATGCGCCGTTGAGGGGGGGGTAATGTCACGAGTTGGTACGGCGTCTAGCCGTTTTTAATTTTTCCTTTTCGCGGGCTCGAACCCGCGACCTCTGTACTACATACCGGATATGGACGCGTCGTTATCTACTGTACGATTAGATTAGATGGGGCGGCAGCACACGGCACAGCTCGGGCTCCGCTGACATAGCCGCTCTGACTCACCGGCCCCCGGGGCCGCGTCAGCATGCTGCGCACAGACCAGCTGTGCACGGACCAGCGCGCACAGCCTGCCCTTATCTACCCCTGTATATAAACCGGCCTCTGCTGCCCTAGGGACCTCAGTTTCGACCTCTTGTCCCTAGGTCAGTAAGCCTCCATTTGTATCATTTCTTACTTTACTAACTAATACATTTTCTTGTCCCTAGCCTTAGGTTTGAGCCTCGCTCACCATCGCTTCGGTGAGAACCAGTCGGACGCCCCTCGCTTCTAGGCATTCCCCTGTCGCTTGACCTCAAGTCGCGACAGTAATGCTGTTAAGCGCAAC